AACAGAACCACAAACAGAACCACAAACAGAACCACAAACAGAACCACAAACAGAACCACGAAACAGAACCACAAACAGAACCACAAACAGAACCACAAACAGAACCACAAACAGAACCACGAACAGAACCACAAACAGAACATGAAACCTCAGTCAAATCCTAAAACAATAAAAGTGCTGAGAATCTGGAGGAAGTAAACCTGGACTGACCAGATCTGCGTCTGAGCTCAACGTCGACTGAAACAACAAACAAACAAACAAACAAAAACATTTAGAGTTCAGTTTTTAAAATTTATTTTCCTGTAATTTCTCAAGTCACAAAATAAAACTTATGATTAAGAGTTAGAGTTAAATAATTAACAGTTAATTAAGACGATTCACTCATAAAACAGAACCCTGAGTCCAGTCTGTGTGTGTCTGTGTTATTCCTCTTTTTCTCCACCAGGTGTCGCCAAACATCATCATCATTAGAAGGTAAAAATAAAACAAAATAGAATAAAATAAAATAGAATTAAAAAAAAAATAATAAGATAAAAAATAATAAAATAAAAAAATAATAAAAAAAAAGAATAAATAGAATAAAGAAATAAAATAAAAGAAATAAAATAAAAGTAGAAAGTGTGAGTTGTGGTGTTTGTTCTGTCTTGGGGATAAACATCAGGAGTTTTAAAGACGTTTCAGTGTAAAAGTGAAAGTGGATTTTTCTGAACGTTCTTTTCATTTATCAGTGAAATTTTTTTTATTTTGTTCATTAAAACTCAAATTATAAAAATACTGACAGAAATATTCAAAGTGTTTTTACAACAGATTATTTTATTTTATTTTTTTGTTGTTTTGTTGTTTCGTGTTCAGAGTCGTTCTTACGTTGGAGTCTGAAGATTTTACGTTTTGTGCGTCTGAAGAAGAAACGACGCTCTGAAAAACAAACAAACAAACAAACAAACAAACAAACATGACTCAGCAGTTTAAACCAGAACTGAACCAAGACTAAACCAGGACTAAACCAGGACTAAACCGGGGACTAAACCAGAAAACCAGAACTAAACCAGGACTAAACCAGAACTAAACCAGGACTAAACCAGAACTAAACCAGACTAAACCAGGACTAAACCAGGACTAAACCAGAAACTAAACCAGGACTAAACCAGGACTAAACCAGGACTAAACCAGAACTAAACCAGAACTAAACCAGGACTAAACCAGGACTAGTATCAGGACTGTATCAGGACCTGGTCTGGGATCACGGCGATGGTCTGGATCTGGACTTTTCCCTGGATGAGCAGAGTGTCGACTCGGTTCAGGTCGACTCGGTGTTTGTACTCGACCAGATGAGCCCCGTTCACCGCGACCTGAAGTACACACACATGAGACAGGAGCAGACAGGAGCAGACAGGAGCAGGCAGGAGCAGACAGGTGTAGACAGGAACAGACAGGTGCATTAGTCAGGAGGAGACAGGTGCAGACAAGGTTAGACAGGTGCAGACAGGGTCAGACAGGTGCAGACAGGAGGAGACAGGTGCAGTCAGGGTGCAGACAGGGTCAGTCAGGTGCAGACAGGGTCAGTCAGGTGCAGACAGGTGACCTTGTAGGCGTGGCTCTGGACGAGGATGAGCAGTTCGAAGGCGGTCCCTGGCGACAGGGGCATGACTCGGTGGATTTCTTCTCGGCCCCATCGTTCTCGGGTCAGAGAGTTACACACGACGCAGCCTTTCCTCACGCGAGGGTTCAGGTGGAACGCCACGTCCGCACGAGGCTTCACGCTGCTGCCGCACGTCAGGTCCACCTGGAACCTGGACCGGAACCACACAGAACCACACAGAACATGAACCACCAGAACATGAACCACACAGAACCACAAAGAACATGAACCACCAGAACATGAACCACATAGAACCTGAACCACACAGAACCACAAAGAACATGAACCACATAGAACCACACAGAACCTGAACCACATAGAACCACACAGAACCGAACCACACAGAACCACACAAGAACATGAACCACATAGAACCACACAGAACCTGAACCACACAGAACCACACAGAACATGAACCACCAGAACATGAACCACATAGAACCACACAAAGAACATGAACCACCAGAACATGAACCACATAGAACCACACAGAACCTGAACCACACAGAACCACAAAGAACATGAACCACACAGAACCACAAAGAACATGAACCACACAGAACCTGAAGTTGACAGACACAGAACCGGGCTCATGTCCCGTATCACACTGTTCTCTGTTCTAATGTCGTTCCCTCGTCACACAGACCTGCAGTTGTGTGTTTTTTTTGTTCCACTCACACACGTTTAACGCACAAACACAACTGAAAACTCTCTGTTCCACCTTGTGATGTCATCGTGTGGTGATACAGGAAGTGCTCCTCTGTGTTTTTTTTTTTTTTCACTAGAATCATGTGGATCTTTTGGTTCTTTTGTGGAGTCGCTGATCTCGACTGAACTGAAAGTGAAAAAAACATCTGAATATTTTTGTGTTTAATTTGGTTTGTCTTTAGTGTTTGACTCTTGCGCCCTCTGCTGGTGAAACAAAGTATTAAAAATCTACAGTAAAATATAAATAAATTAAATAAAAATGTAAAATGAAAAAAAAAACGATGTAAACATTTGTTCAGTTTTATTTATTTAGTATTTGAAGAAGGAAATCTGACGCCCTAAATGAGTCATTAACACACGAGGTTTTTGTAATTTTATTTTTGTTTGTTTATATTCTAATTTACAAAACTGATTTCACTGTTTATTTCTTTTATTTTTTTGTTCAGTTCCTCTCGGTTGTGAAGAACAAAATAAACCGTGTTCGTGTCATAAACCTGGAGCTCGTGATGATTCCTGGAGGGTTTTACAGAAGGGAAAAGGAGCTGCTCAAACCACTCGATGACATCACAAGGTGGAGCAGAGCGTTTGGAGGTTTGCAGATGTAAACAGACGAATAATAAAGATTTACTCAAACATGTGAATGAAACAAAAGAAGAACAAGGAGCAGTAGAACATCAGAACATCAGAACATCAGAACAGGACTTAAAGCTCAGAGTCAGTTTGATTCAGAAGCTTTAAAAACAAAAAACAAAACAAAAGAAAAAAACGTACTAAAAGTTTTGCCTGTTTTTATTTTTATTTAATAATCTGGGTGAAGTTTGTAAAGTTCCCTCCTGGTCGGACGCCGCAGCCGCAGACGCGCCTCCACAGCTGTTCCCATAGCAACAGTTACGTCAACAAAGTCCAAATATTTTTCTAAGAGACTCGTGACTCGTCCTGATCAGAGTCAAACAAATAAAAGAGCTCAGGTTTGATTTGGTGAAATTAAAGTTTAAAAGAGTCAGAAAAAGTTTTTCCTTGAGCCAAAACTGTTTCTGTGTTTTGGAGTTTTCCTCTGATGACGTCAGCACAGGAACAGGTTTATAACACAGGTTTATAACTTTTTTTATTTTTTTTTTATTTTTGTACTTTTCTTGACAACATTTTATTTATTTTTTATTTTATTTTATTTTTTTGTATTTTAATTTGTTGTATTTTTTTTTTGTATTTGTTTTTTTTTTTTCGTATTTTTGTACTTTTTTCTATACTTTCCTCAACACCCTTTTATTTTTTATTTATTTATTTTTATTATTGATTTTATTTTATTTAGTATTTTTGTACTTTTTTTTGTATTTTTTTTATTTTTGTACTTTTCTTCACAAACTTTTATTATTTTTTATTTATTTATTTTTGTATTTTTGTATTTTATTATATTTTATTTTATTTTTTTTTGTATTTTTCTTCACAAACTTTCACTGACCTGATGTAAAAATATCATAAATATTGAACCACAGGGACTAAACCAGAACTGGACCAGGACTAAACCAGAACTAAACCAGGACTAAACCAGGACTGACCTGTCGACGTCTGTGGGCACAGATCCTTGGATCAGGATCATTTCTCCGGGTGTGAGTCCCCCGAGGATCGTCCCCGAGAACGGAACCACCTGGAAAACCAGAACTATTAGAGGAAAACCAGGACCAGACCAGATCTAAACCTGGACTAAACCTGGACTAAACCTGGACCAGACCAGGACTAATCCAGGCACATATGAGACATATTTGGTCCAGGTCTGACTCTGGACCAAGACTAAACCAGGATCAAATTTGAGCAAATCCAAATCCAGGTCTGGACCAGAAATGATCCACAAAACTAAAAGAGGAAAACTGCAGAAATTTCAGGGTTTCCAGAAAATATTTGAAGGATTTTAGAAACACGTGACGGAAACTCAAGTCCTGTGATTCAAATAAAACCAGGTCTGAACCAGGTCTGAACCAGGTCTAAACCAGGACTAAACCAGGTCTAAACCAGGTCTAAACCAGGACTAAACCAGGACTAAACCAGGACTAAACCAGGTCTAAACCAGGACTAAACCAGGTCTAAAACCAGACTAAACAGGTCTAAAACCAGGACTAAACCAGGTCTAAACCAGGTCTAAACCAGGAACCAGGTCTGAACCAGGTCTAAACCAGGACTAAACCAGGACTAAACCAGGTCTAAACCAGAACTAAACCAGACTAAACCAGGTCTAAACCAGGTCTAAACCAGGAAACTAAACCAGTAAACCAGTCTAAACCAGGACTAAACCAGGAACTAAACCAGTCTAACCAGGTCTGAACCAGGTCTAAACCAGTCTAAACCAGGTCTAAACCAGAACTAAACCAGAACTAAACCAGGACTAAAATAAAAGTCTCAGTTGTTTTTTTACTTGTGACGTGTTTTTTGTGAATCACGTGACACAAAACGAACCTGATAAAAGACCAGAGCAGGAAACAAACCCGTGAAAAACAGAATAACCCGCCTCGGCTCGGCTCGGGTTTCATTTAGAGTAAAATCCTGTCAGACTCGGGTCATGACTCGACTCTTACGTAACAAAAAACTCATAAAACAAACAAAAACACACACAGAGACGCGGGATGGAGGTAAAACTCAGAGAAAAAGACTCACCGGGTTCACGAAGGTTTGTCTCGGTTTGGTCACGGACATTTTAGAAAAGAAATTAAACTCTAAACTTTAAAGTCTAAACTCTAAACTCTAAAGTCTGAACGAACAGAACCGAACCTCCTCCTCCAGATGTTTACTTCCTGGACGTGGAGCCCGACTGCGCATGCGTGCTGTTCCGCTTATTCAAATTAAATTAAATAAAATTAAACCGTCACATTATTTTTTTTATATTATTGTTATTATTTTATTTATAAGTTTCATAATAAAATAAAACTTTAAAACGCCACAGAACAAAAAATTATAATAATAAAATAAATAAATAAAATCACTAATAACTGCGCATGCGTGCTGTTCCGCTTATTCAAATTCATCTAAATTAAATAAAATTAAACCATCACATTATTTTTAAAAATTATTATTTTATTTATAAGTTTCATAATAAAACAAAACTTTAAAATGCCACAGAAAAAAAAAAACATAAATAAATAAAATGAAAATAAAAATAATAATAAAATAAAATAACTAATAATGATGAATGATTTATTTATTTATTGGATCCCCATTAGTGTTTATTCTTCCTGGGGTCCAAGTTGGCATAATTTACAATAAAATGTACCATTATAATAACAAAAAGTTATAGTTTCCTACACTACACAACACTACTACAATTATAATATATCCAATAAATTACAAAGCATAACTAGTGACTAAATATAATTATGTACAAATAATAATAATGAATAAAATGACATTTGGTCATTCTAGTCCAGGGGTGGGCGATTATTTTTTTCATGGGGCCACAAGAGAAACAGAAAATATTGTAGAGGTCAAAATGTTTAACTCAGTTCTGCAGAATAATAATTGTAGTTCTTAATTTCTTTATTAAAAAAAATTAAAAAAATCAGTAAATCTTATTGTTCCGACAAGCTGCTCAGACTAAACAATGAAAAAGTGAAACTGCCTTATTTAAAAAAAAAAATCTCTAAAATAAAAGTAATGCAGCTTTAGTCCAGGTATAAATTAAAATTATAAAATGTGTTTACTTTGTAATTCCAAATGATCTTAAACGAGCTGATCAGAGTTGACCAAATAAAAATAAAAGTGGTGAGCAAACTTACGACTGAACAGAACTCAAATAATCTCCTGTTTGTGCAGCGAAGAACAAACTCCAGACCAGCTGAGGTAGAACTCCAAGACTTTTAAACTTCATCCTCCTTTTGAGCACCAGGTCCTAAATATGTTCATGTACATGTTTTTTTTACTTGTACTTGTCCATTAGAACTGCTAAATGTCATTGTTTTGATGTATTTACTTTTTTAAAATTGCTTATTTATTATAGTTTTGATCTCTTTCTGGATCACATTTCATTCTGTCATGTGTTTCTCTCGCACGCTTGAATGACAAAGAACCTTCACCTTGATATCACTGTTTTTGGTATTGTTTTTAAATTTTGTTGTACCTGCTCAAATAAATGAAAAATTAATGAATGATCCAGAGCTGCATTTTCCAAAATTAATTCCAGGTTTTGCAGATGAACACTGGGACTCTCTCGGTTTGGGATGTTCGGTAATAAAATTGTGAAACGAGTAATAAAAGGAAAATGATTCAGCTCTCGGCTCATTCATGACGAACACGAGTCAGTTTAGTCACATTTTATTTTGTGTTTTTGTCGTTTTTAAACATCTCCACAGAGAAACGTTTGTGGGAAGCTCTTTACTTCAGAAACTGACTTCATAAAACCAAAACAAGGGTCTAAGAAAAAACTAATCAGATTCTGTGAGCAGAGCCGCCTCTCCACAGATCTGACCTATAAAACTTGTTCTGAGGTTACTGATGTTTAATGCCAAACTGTGGAACATTCCAGGCATCACAATAACATCTCCACGGTGACGAGCAGGTGGAAGATGGACCAGAATTGTTTTTTTTTTTTTAATTATCATTGTGTTTCGGAATAGAGTTTGTTCCTCAGTATTAAAATCTTAGAGTTTTTGTCTAAAGTTCAGACTAAAGATGAAGGTCAAAGGTCAGAGGTGAGCACAGTCACATTTATTTCATCACTAAAATATTTACAGCAAATTTACAACTTACAAATATAAAAACATCTACAGCGTTAAACCCGACGACTCCACCAAACACACAAACATCAAACTCCACAAACACCAAACACACGACGACAGGGAGAAGTGTCCTGCCCAAAGACACAAAGGCGTAAAGTCAGAGGGAAACAGTCGAACCAGCAGCTCCTCAGAGGGACGAGTACGACCCTGATTTCAGCTCAACTTTATCATTTTAAGGAGTTTAAAACAAAAGACGAGCGGCGCAGAAACGTTCAGTTTGAGTTCATCTCCAACAGAGGGAAAAAAAAAAAAAAAAAGATGGAGACTTGAGCTTGAAATAAAAACATTTCAGAAGTAAACTGATGAAAACCTGTGAGAACAACGACGACCAGGACAGAGCAGGACAGAGACTCAGGTCAGAGTCTGAGTCTGAGGAAAGAGTCAGTGCAAAATTAAACTTGAGGCTTTTTGTGTCTGAAAAGTTCAACAACGTCCCCTGAGTGTTTTATTATTGCAGTGAACTGATTGGCCCTGGGGCGGGTCAGACGGAGCGCTGTGATTGGCCCTGGGGCGGGTCAGACGGAGCGCTCTGATTGGCCCTGGGGCGGGTCAGACGGAGCGCTCTGATTGGCCCTGGGGCGGGTCAGACGGAGCGCTGTGATTGGCCCTGGGGCGGGTCAGACGGAGCGCTCTGATTGGCCCTGGGGCGGGTCAGACGGAGCGCTCTGATTGGCCGTGGCGCTGTGACGTCGTGGCTCTCAGAAGTCGGCGTCCAGTCTGAAGGTGTTGTCCGTGGTCCCGGACATGACGCCCATCCTCTGATACTCTCCCACTCTCTTCTCAAAGAAGTTGGTCTTTCCCTCCAGAGAAATGTTCTCCATGAAGTCAAACGGGTTCTCCGAGCGATACAACTGCAAACACACAACACACACACAACTGTTACACACACACACACACAGACAGTAGTGTAGAGTCTCCCCCTGCTGGTGCTCAGTGGTGCGTGCGTCTCGTCTGTGGGCAGTGACCCGAGTCTCTGACACCACAGACTCAGCTCCCATCATCAGCTGAGGTCCGTACCCCTGCGCAAATCATCACTGCACCAACACACACACAAGTACTACACACAAGTACTACACACACACCTACACACAAGTACTAGTACTGCAAATCCAAGTACTAGAGCGGGGGGCAGTACCTTGGTGAATCCGAGCTCGAGCAGAAGTCGGTCGGCCACAAACTCGATGTACTGCTTCATGAGGTCACAGTTCATCCCGATGAGTTTGACGGGCAAAGCCTCCGTCAGGAACTCCTGAAAACACAACAACACACAACACGGTTACACAACAACACACAACAGTTACACAACAACAACAACAGTTACACAACAACACACAACAGAGTTAAACAACACAACAGATGAGAGTTTGGAGGAGAACAGTGGGAGGTTTAGACGGCGTCTGAGTTCAGATTCATGATGTTTTGAACATCACTGATGTAGAATGAAAGAGTCTGTGGATTAAACCTGCTCTTCTTCTGACTGGATCATGTGGACCAGAGTTTTACTCTCATCGTTTTACTCACTGCAGCCAAAGTATTGTTTATCCAAACTCCAAATTAGACGTTCATTCACGTTACACGCAGTAGTACACAGGCGTGTGTGCAGTAGTACTCTGGCATGTGTAGTACTCTGTAGTACTCTGTGGTATGTGTGTAGTACTGTGTGTGGTGTGTTTGACCTGCTCGATGGCGACGGCGTCCCTGATGATTCGTTCCACGGTGGACGAGCTCGGTTTGTTCTCCAGGTGTTTGAACATGAGGCAGGCGAAGTCACAGTGAAGACCCTGAACACAACCACCAATCAGAAACAAGCCACACACACACACACACACACACACACGACCAATCAGAACAAGCACCACACACACACACAACAGAAACAAGCACCACAAACACACACGACGACCAATCAGAAACAAGCACCACACACAACACACACAATCAGAAACAAGCACCACACACACGACAATCAGAAACAAGCACCACACACAACGACAATCAGAAACAACACACACACACACGACGACCAATCAGAAACAAGCACCACAAACACACACGACGACCAATCAGAAACAAGCACCACAAACACACACGACACAGAAACAAGCACACACACACACGACAATCAGAAACAAGCACACACACACACACACACCAACCAATCAGAAACAAGCACCACACACAACGACCAATCAGAAACAAGCACCACAAACACACACGACGACCAATCAGAAACAAGCACCACACACAACCACCAATCAGAAACAAGCACCACACACAACACCAATCAGAAACAAGCACCACAAACAACGACAATCAGAAACAAGCACCACACACACAACGACCAATCAGAAACAAGCACCACACACACACACACACACACAACCACCAATCAGAACAAGCACCACACACACATCAGAAACAAGCACCACACACACGACAACCAATCAGAAACAAGCACCACACACACGACGACCAATCAGAAACAAGCACCACACACACACACGACGACCAATCAGAAACAAGCACCACACACACACGACGACCAATCAGAAACAAGCACCACACACAACGACCAATCATATCACAGTACTACAGTAAAAGTACCTGGTGTGTGTAGTAGTAGTAGTAGTACTTTAGTAAAAGTACTGCAGTATAAAAGTAGTGCAGTAAAAAAGTACTGCAGTAGTGTAGTATAAAAGTACCTGGTGTGTGTAGTAGTAGTAATACTTTAGTAAAAGTAGTGCAGTATAAAAGTACCTCGTCTCTGCTGATGAGTTCGTTGGAGAAGGTCAGTCCGGGCATCAGGCCTCGTTTCTTGAGCCAGAAAATGGCGGCGAAGGATCCAGAGAAGAAGATCCCCTCGACAGCGGCGAACGCCACCACACGCTCCCCTGAAACCAGACCGGACCAAGTCAGAACTAAACCAGGACTAAACCACACGCTCCCCTGAAACCAGACCGGACCAAGTCAGAACTAAACCAGGACTCGGGCCTGGGACTCATGTTTTACCGTAGGTGTAGTTGCGGGTGTAGTTGCAGTTGCGGGTGTGGGTGTAGTTGCGGGTGTGGGTGCAGTTGCGGGTGTGGGTGCAGTTGCGGGTGTGGGTGCAGTTGCGGGTGTGGGTGCAGTTGCGGGTGTGGGGTGCGTTGCGGGTGTGGTGCAGTTGCGGGTGTGAGTTGCGGGTGCGGGTGTAGGTGTGCGGGTGTAGGTGTGGGTGCGGGTGTAGGTGTGGGTGCAGTTGCGGGTGTAGGTGTAGTTGCGGGTGTAGGTGTAGTTGCGGGTGTAGGTGTGGGTGCGGGTGTAGGTGTGTGGGTGTAGTTGCGGGTGTGGGTGCAGTTGCGGGTGTGGGTGCAGTTGCGGGTGTGGTTGTGTAGTTGCGGGTGTAGGTGTAGTTGCGGGTGTAGGTGTAGTTGTGGGTGTAGTTGCGGGTGTAGTTGCGTGTGTTTTACCGTAGGTGGCGTTCTTGTTGCCGATCCAGTTCAGAGCCCAGTCGGCCTTTTTCTTCACACAGGGAAGAGTCTCGATGGCGTTGAACAGGTACTCTCTGAAAACACACACACACACACATCAGAACACACAACACACACAGAACACACAACATGTGACCAGTGAGGACAACACACAACACACACACACATCAGAACACACAACATACACCAGAACACACGACATGTGACAAGTGAGGACAACACACACCAGAACACACACACTACACACACGACATGTGAGGATAATACACACAACAAACACTGAATGATAGGCAAGAAAACCACACACAAAACACCCGTGTGTGTGTATGACCTCTGACCTCTCCTGTGAGTCTTTGATGTATATGTGTGTGACCTCTGACCTCTCCTGTGAGTCTTTGATGTGTGTGTGTGTGACCTCTGACCTCTCCTGTGAGTCTTTGATGTAGGTGTCGATGAGCAGACTGTACATCTCTGAGTGGATGTTCTCCATGGCGATCTGGAACCCATAGAAACATCTGGCCTCCGTCACCTGCACCTCCTGCATGAAGCGCTCCACCTGCACACGGGACACCACAATCAGACCAGGACCAGGACCGAGACCAGGACCGAGACCAAGACCAGGACCAGGTCCACACATGTACAAGAGCAGACTGAGGCTCTCACCAGGTTCTCGTTGACGATTCCGTCGCTGGCGGCGAAAAAAGCCAAAACGTGAGAAATGAAGAACCTCTCCTCGTCCTTCAGAGTCTCCCAGTGCTGCAGGTCTTTGGACAGGTCCACCTGAAACACACCAGAACCTCAGACACCTGGAGTCCACCCAGAGGACCACGGGGACCTGGAGTCCACCCAGAGGACCACGGGGACCTGGAGTCCACCCAGAGGACCACGGGGACCTGGAGTCCACCCAGAGGACCACGGGGACCTGGAGTCCACCCAGAGGACCACGGGGACCTGGAGTCCACCCAGAGGACCACGGGGACCTGGAGTCCACCCAGAGGACCACGGGGACCTGGAGTGGGTTTGGAGCAGGTCTGGGTCAGGAGAACATGTGGCTCTTGTAGAAGATCAGGAGTTTGTGGACCTGGACATATTTGACTCTGGTCGTCAGAAGAGTCACTCGAGTCAAACAGGTCACGTCACAAACTCGACCGACAAGAAAAACAACGTCACATGAAGAAAAGAGCAGAAGAACTTGTGGAAAGGATCTGTGGTCCTGTGTGTAGTACTGGTGCAGTACGCAGTAGAAGTATGTAGTAGTAGTAGTGTTGTAGTATTGTTGCAGTAACAGTAGTAGTATGTAGTAGTAGTAGTGTTGTAGTATTGTTGCAGTAACAGTAGTAGTAGTATTGTTGTAGTAGTAGTATGTAGTAGTAGTGTTGTAGTATTGTTGCAGTAACAGTAGTATTGTTGTAGTAGTAGTATGTAGTAGTATTGTTGTAGTAGTAGTATGTAGTAGTGTTGTAGTATTGTTGCAGTAACAGTAGTAGTATGTAGTAGTAGTATGTAGTAGTGTGTAGTATTGTTGCAGTAACAGTAGTAGTAGTATGTAGTAGTAGTAGTGTTGTAGTATTGTTGCAGTAACAGTAGTAGTTGTAGTAGTAGTATGTAGTAGTAGTAGTAGTGTTGTAGTATTGTTGCAGTAACAGTAGTAGTAGTATTGTTGTAGTAGTAGTAGTAGTAGTACCTCCTCTGCGGTCCAGAAGGAGGCCTCGGCCTTCTTGTACATGGTCCAGATGTCGTGGTAGTGAATGGGGAAGATGACGAAGCGTCGTGGGTTTTCCTTCAGCAGAGGCTCCTCCTCACACTGGGACTTGGGCTGGAACAAAACACACACACACTGAGAACGACAACTTTTACACAACACACACACACACACACTGACAAAGAGAACTTTTACGGAGATATTTAAATCTCACTATTCGATATTTATTCTGATATTTTGTGGAGACAAACAAAACTGCATATTTGACTTTTTCCTCTTAAAATGTCTTGACAAGATTTAATTTAAAAAACTAAGAGTTAAAAGTGTTAGAACTGTTATTTCTTCTTGTCGTCTGCACTGAAACAGAGCAAAGGATCATGGTCTATGTAGTTCTCTGTGTTTTTATCTATTGATGCAGAATAACTTTTAATTTAAACAAATAAACTTGTGACTGGAGACATTGTGATGATTCACGATATTATTGAGACTTTTGATGATTCGATATCACGATATTCTGGTTTTTGTTACATCCACAGTGAGAATAAAAAGTCCAAATGTTTGTGGCTCATGTTTCATTTTATCATTTATATTTTTATCTTTGTTGTTCTGTTGTGTGACTCTGGGTCCAAATCTTTTCCTTGTGGATGAATAAAGTTTGTCTAAGTCCGAGTCTAAATGGTCCAAAGTGAAATGAAAAGCTCTTTTTTTTGTAGTAAAAGTGTTAAATGTGCTGGTTGTGAAAGTCAGTGCGGATAAACCAGAGATTGTGGCTCTTAAAGCTTCTGGATGTTTCCTCTGGTGATCAGCTGTTGGCGCCACAAACGCGTCACTTCTTTGGGCGCCACATTTGCACAAACTCCGCCTTTTAGCGCAAATCAAACCCCTTTTTTTTAATCTCCCTCCGAAAGTTGCGGCTCTGGAGCGGACACGGCGCACTCGGGCCCGGTCTGCGCCGCTTTTGGAGCCTCTTACCGTGGACTCCGAGAAGATCTTCCGCGCCGTTTTCGAAGCCAAGATGCGGGTGTTGTTCAGGCTCGGAGGCTGCAAGAGGCACAAGGAACCGGCTCAGAACCACCGACAAACTCCCCCCACAGAAACACTTTTACAACTCAACTCTTCCATATTTAACAGAGACACTTTTGTAAATAAACTCTTTCATATTTAACAGAGACACTTTTGTAAATAAACTCTTTCATATTTAACATATTTAACAGAGACACTTTTGTAAATAAACTCTTTCATATTTAACAGAGACACTTTTGTAAATAAACTCTTTCCGCGCTGGTTCCCGCTGAAACTCTCGCGGTTCTTACCGTGTTTTCTTTGTCCAGGCTCAAAACGCTCATTTTGTTGCTCACGGAGTTTTGGTTCTTCACGGACAGAGGAGAGCGCGCAGACAGCATCTTTACGGTTCAGTTAAAACGCGACGAGACAATAAATAAAATAAGTTAAAAGTGTAAAAAAGCGGGAAGTAAAACTCGTGAAGCGGCTTTGGCGGAGCGGACAGAGCGGAGGAGCAGGAGACACTGACGCGCCGCTCCGTCCGCTCCAACTTTTATTGAAATCTTGGCGCTAAACGCTGAGCCCGAGTGACGCAGCCAATCAGAGCTCACGTTCGGCGCGAGGGAACGCGGAGCCCGAGTGACGCATCCAATCAGAGCTCACGTTTAGTGCGGGGCGAATGAAAGCGTTGAGGAAAACGGCTCAAAAACGAATAAAACACATTTAAAAATCACTTTATTTTACGGCGATATGAACAGATCCGTGTCCGGGCACATCGGTGTCAAATGTCAGAGCGAAAAGACGCGTTTATCGGGAGGTTTTAACACAATATCGCGGCTCGTGGGGGATTTAACTGGACGAGGACAGAGAGCCAATCAGAAGCGACGTAAAGTGCGTCACATCCGGGTTTGGCAGCGGGAAATCCAAAGTAAGAAACGGCTGCGAAAAGTGTTACAAAACCTCCACAAAAACACTTACAAAACATCTAAACCTCCACAAAAACACTTAAAAAACATCTAAACCTCCACAAAAACACTTACAAAACATCTAAACCTCCACAAAAACACTTACAAAACATCTAAACCTCCACAAAAACACTTACAAAACATCTAAACCTCCACAAAACACTTAAAAAACATCTAAACCTCCACAAAAACACTTACAAAAACATCTAAACCTCCACAAAAACACTTAAAAAACATTTAAACCTCCATTAAACCATTAAACTTACGGAATATTAAGGTTTAACTCATTTAAACGGAGGATTTTCCTGGTACAAAGTTTTGTTTTCCTCTTTTACCAAACAGTCTCTTTGTTTACACTGATTCTCAGACACTTCTGCGACACAAACTGCACAAACAGCGTCAATAAAACTACAATAAAACTGCTGTTTACGGCTCAGAAATGAATTAAACAACATGACAGAACATTAGATGACATTTTAAAGATAAATGGGTGATCTAAAGTGAGAAACGACAGTGAAAAGTCATTTACAAAAGTATTTAAACCTCCACAAAAAATCTAAATCTGAACTAGAATAATAATCTAAACTAGAACTAAACTAGGACTATTTCAGGTGGGTTTCAGGACTAAACCAGGACTAAACTAGGGCTAAACCTAAAACTAAATTAGGACTATTTCAGGTCTGTTTCAGGTCTAAACCAAACCAGGTCTAAACTAGGGCTAAACCAGGACTAAACCAGGACTAAAACAGGACTAAAGGACTAAACCAGGACTAAACCAGGACTAAACCAGGACTAAACCAGGTGTAAACCAGAGAAGCATAAATTACATTTGTTTAGTTCTTCTGTATTTAGTCTCAGATTAAACTCTGATCCACACGAGAGTTGAGGACAAAGTTAAACGCTTTTTTCACAGTTTTATTTATTTTATTTTATTTTATTTATTTATTTACACAAACATCCCAACCCCGTGTGATCCAGTTTAGAATTTTGAAAATCTGATCAGTCTAAATTTGAGATGGACTTGTGGTACTTGAGGTTCAGGTAAGTGAGTTCTGTCTGGTCAAATAAAGTTCAGATTAAAATCTAACAAATTCTAGCAAAATAAATAAAATAAAAAATTAATTATTGTTGTAATTATTTTCATTAATTATTAAAAGGGGGAAGTACCTTTAAAATTCAGTTTTAAGATTGTAATAAACAGTAAAAGATGATGAAATGAAATGATGACAGTGAAAATAATTGTTAAGTTTAGTGACTAAAAATGTTTATTAAAAAAATTTTAAAGAGAGAGGAAGGAATTTAAATTATAAATTGGCCAAAAATATCAATATAAGGAGGTCTAACAGTGTGATTATGCTGCTCTACCACAGCACTTTTGTTTTATTTCATTTAAATAAATAAATACAAATAAACAAAGTCTCAGACAGAGCAGAGCCTACAGTTAGCGTCACACCTCCAGGGATGTTGATGACGTCTGCTGCAGAAGATCTGATGTTTCCTCCGTCTCCTCCACAGTCTCAGAGCTCCAGACTCTGAGGATCATCTGCAGATGTGTCCTTCAAACCCAGAGCTGAACTTTGACCTTTAGGCTCCACAAAACCTGCAGCTCAAATGTGATTAAGACCAGTTTAAGTCCAGTTTAAGTCCAGTTTAAATCCAGTTTAAATCCAGTTTAAATCCAGTTTAAGTCCAGTTTAAGTCAGTTTAAACAGTTTAAATCCAGTTTAAGTCCAGTTTAAATCCAGTTTAAGACCAGTTTAAGTCCAGTTTAAGTCCAGTTTAAGTCCAGTTTAAATCCAGTTTAAGACCAGTTTAAGTCCAGTTTAAGTCCAGTTTAAATCCAGTTTAAATCCAGTTTAAGTCCAGTTTAAATCCAGTTTAAGTCCAGTTTAAGACCAGTTTAAATCCAGTTTAAATCCAGTTTAAGTCCAGTTTAAATCCAGTTTAAGACCAGTTTAAGTCCAGTTTAAGTCCAGTTTAAAACCAGTTTAAATCCAGTTTAAATCCAGTTTAAGACCAGTTTAAGTCCAGTTTAAATCAGTTTAAATCCAGTTTAAGACCAGTTTAAGACCAGTTTAAGTCCAGTTTAAGTCCAGTTTAAGTCCAGTTTAAGACCAGTTTAAATCCAGTTTAAGACCAGTTTAAGACCAGTTTAAATCCAGTTTAAGTCCAGTTTAAGACCAGTTTAAGACCAGTTTAAGACCAGTTTAAATCCAGTTTAAGACCAGTTTAAGACCAGTTTAAATCCAGTTTAAGACCAGTTTAAGTACCAGTTTAAGACCAGTTTAAATCCAGTTTAAAGTTTAAATCCAGTTTTAAGACCAGTTTAAATCCAGTTTAAAGTCCAGTTTAAGACCAGTTTAAATTTAAACCAGTTTAAGTCCAGTTTAAGACAGTTTAAGACAGTTTCCAGTTTAAATCCAGTTTAAGTCCAGTTTAAGACCAGTTTAAGACCAGTTTAAAACCAGTTTAAGTCCAGTTTAAGACCAGTTTAAATCCAGTTTAAGACCAGTTTAAGACCAGTTTAAATCCAGTTTAAGTCCAGTTTAAGACCAGTTTAAATCCAGTTTAAGACCAGTTTAAATCCAGTTTAAGTACAGTTTAAGACCAGTTTAAATCCAGTTTAAGACCAGTTTAAGACCAGTTTAAATCCAGTTTAAGTCCAGTTTAAGTCCAGTTTAAGTTTAAGACCAGTTTAAGACCAGTTTAAATCCAGTTTAAATCCAGTTTAAGTCCAGTTTAAGTCCAGTTTAAGACCAGTTTAAGACCAGTTTAAGTCCAGTTTAAACCAGTTTAAATCCAGTTTAAGACCAGTTTAAGTACAGTTTAAGACCAGTTTAAGACCAGTTTAAGACCAGTTTAAGACCAGTTTAAATCTAGTTTAAATCCAGTTTAAGACCAGTTTAAGTACAGTTTAAGACCAGTTTAAATCCAGTTTAAGACCAGTTTAAGTCCAGTTTAAGACCAGTTTAAGACCAGTTTAAGACCAGTTTAAGACCAGTTTAAGTTTAAGTCCAGTTTAAGACCAGTTTAAGTCCAGGTCTCAGGTTCCTTCTAGAACAGAGTGTGACCAGCAGAGGGCGCCCTGTGACAAAGAATAAAAGCTCTGGAAGCTCAGGTTGAATAAGTTTGTTTGATTTTATTGATTTCTTTGAGTCACTTTTTGAGAGTAACGATCTGAACTTTACATCTGATTTGAAAGTGAAAAAAAAAAACAGAAATGAGACAAACTGAATCTTCTGAAGGAGCCGCACGAAGCACAAATGTTCAGATCGTCTCAGATTTTCTCATGAAGCTTTTGTCACTTTAGACTCAGAGCGAAAAGAGGAAGGACTCTGTTACTCGAGTAAAAGTACTGTTACTATTATCAAGTATGGGGGGGGGGTCATTATTTTATCCATGGGGCCACAAGAAAAACAGAAAATCTTGTGGAGGCAGAGTTAATATTTTGCAGAATATTCATTGTATTTCATTATAAATTCATTATGTTAAGTTATATTTTATTATGTTAAGTGTACCTTAAATTTAAAAAAAAAAATTTACTTATGTTCTGACTCAGCAAATAAAGGGAGTCTGTCCAACAAAAAACTTCATTTAAAAAAACACGTCTAAAATAATAAAAAATAATGCAGCTTTACGTCTCGCTCTTTACGTCACTTTTGTATTTTGTTTTGTTTTTTTCTTGACTTTTCAGATCTTTAATGGTTCTGGACAGAGTTTGCTGATGTGAGCGAGTTGTGTTTCCACGGTAACTGCTGAACGTTCCCTCGTAGACATACATGCAGAACAGGATGACGTCACTGCAGAGTACTGAGTAGAGTGTAGAGTAAAAGTACAGCGTCTGCACAAATCGCTCCTAAACTCCTCCGGCTGCGTAATCAGATTTGTTCTCTTCTTTGTCTCTCGTTTTTCTTCGTTTTTCTTTCTTTTCTCTTGTTGTGGTTGTTTTTTTTTTCCCGCTGCAGTGACGTGCCGTGTCCTGCAGGGGGCGCCACACGCACGCACACTCACGCACAGACACGCACGCTCACGCACGCTCACGCACACACGCACGCGCAGACTCAGGTTCATGGAGTTCGCCGTAAACAAAGGAACGAGTCTCGGCGCAAAAACACGAGAAAGTCAAACACAGCGTCCCCGAGAGCCGATTCAGAGCCGATTCAGAGCCGATTCAGAGCCGGAAAATCACACACGATACTTCAATATAAAATACTTCAATCTAAAATACTTCAGAATCACCAGACAATCACATGAAAATAAATACTTCAAGAGTACTTTATTGAATAACTTTAATATCACAATAAAACAGCAGAATCAGACTGAAACAAACAGAATAAAAACATTTCAAAAGTTTAATCAAAATTATGTTAATTAAGGAAAAAAGTACTACTTAAAAATAGTGAAATACTGGTTAGAAGCAGTAATAGAAGTACTATTAGTAGTAGTAGTAGTAGTAGCATTAGTATTAGTGTTAATAGTAGTATTAGTGGTATTAGTAGTAGTAGTAGTAGTAGTAATAGTAGTAGTAGTAGTTGTTGTAGTAGTAGTAGTATTTGTAGTAGAAGTAGTAGTATT